AAATTCCTGGCCCTGAGGCTGTGTGACCTCAGGCTGGTCACTAAGTTGCACAAGGCCTGTTTCCTCATGAAGGGGACATTACACTACATGATCTGAAATTCTGGGAGTCTTGTATTTGTTTCCAGAAAGATCATCTGACCTAGAAAATCTGACATAACAATAACAAAACAGTATTGGAAGGTGAGCAAAGTATTTCTTCCTTCCACCTGTCCTGGCTACCCACTCTATAGTGCCTTTCTCCAAGGACCCAGACTAAAACAACCTATATCTTGGAATGAAGTCACAAGTCCCCAATTTTGATTTGTGATGGACTAACTTAACTCACCATCCCCAAATGGCCTAATCCATTGTGTGGGGTTGGCAGGAGGGAGGCAAGAGAAGGACAACAGACATCTTCACACAAAGCTTCGTGACGTCCCTGAATGTGACCACTGGTTCAGATTTTTCTCAGGGCAACTAACTGGTACAATTGAGGAGCTCATTGTTGTATAACCAAAGCATCTTTTTTATAGTGGGGATGACCCCATTAAGAAAAAAAATCCAACAGTGTGAGCAATTCCTTGTGCCAACTCAAAATACCTCTGCTTGCAAACACCAGCATTTTGACCACAACACCCGCTAAGAAAGAAATGGTAGGATGTTGGACGCCTCAGCACATTCTCTAGATAGTTCTATTATCAATTCAAAAGTTGTTCCCCCACCCTCATACGGAGTAAAGACTTTGTTACCATTTTACAGACAGCTGGTTTTTGTTGTTGTTTTGAGGTGCTCGGAATTGAACCCAGGGCCTAATGCATGCTGGGCAAGTGCAATACCACAGAGCTCCAGCCCCAGTCCCACACTCAGCTATCTATTGCCCCTTTCTCATGTCCAACTCCTATGTTCCAGGTTCTAAAGCAAAACTGTCTTGCCTAATCTAAATCTTCCTTGGTATTAGGCAGGAACAATTCCCTGCAACCTACTCATCCACTCTCCTTTTTGGGACAGTAAGGCCACGAGAAACAACTGGACTACTGGATGTTTGCATTGAGCTTTATAATTTACAAACCATTCACCAACATACCATGATCTCTCATCTGAGCCTTATAACAACCCAAGGAGGCAAACCTGCTCCCCTCCCCAGTAAGGTCTGTATCTGCATGAGACTGTCATGGGGTGGCACACAGTAAGCACACCATAAGTTTAAGTTATTAGCCATGTGCCATGGTCTGAATGTTTGTGGACCACCAAATCATATTGAAATCCCAACCCCCAAGAGGACAGTATTAGCCATGAGATCTTCAGGGTATTATTAGATCATGAGGGCAGAGCACTCATAAGTTGGATTAGCATCCTTATAAAGAGGCCAGAGAGAAATTCCTCACCCCTTCCAACATAAGATCATGGAGAAGCAGCCATTTGTGAACCTAAAGGTGAGCCCTCACCACAAACTCTGGCAAAACCCTGACCTCAGACTCCCCAGCCTGTGACAAACAAACTTCTGTTGTTCATAAGCCACCCAGCTTAAAGTACATTACAGCAGTCCTAATGGACAAGACCATATTAAACACAGCAAGTACTATTTTATGAATGAAAAACGAGGCTGAGGTTGGACAACCAACTGATTGCAGATAACTAGGCCTCCAGGAAAATACAGTGAGCTGGGAAGGGAGAAAGCCTAGTGCAGGATTCTTTCTACCACCATATCGACATAGATCCTAATATGTCTAAAACCTTACAGTCACACATTTCCAATTAGGCTTAGGCCTAGGAGAGCCTGAAGTCTGGTACTGTCACAGTAGGATGGCCACATACTCAAGAGCATTGGTTCTTTGGACCTCTGTGCCTTCCTCTCCATAATGAAGGCAGACTCACTGTTGGTCAGTCGGTTGGTTGTTTTTTTTCCTTATTCTTCCTTTTTCCAAATAAACATCAAGCTTTCAGACTACAGGCCCCATTGCAAGCATAAAGTATCATTTAATTGCATTTCTGCACCAGCTCCAGCTATCTGCTTCCCAGTCCCTAACTCCCACTGGGCAGATTCTGAAGCCACACAGGAGATTAAGTCAAGAGGGGAGAACAGGAGGGACATTCTCTCCTTGAACTTTCTTAAATGGAAAAAAGAAAAAAAAAAAAAAGAAGAAGAAGAAGAAAAGAAAAGAAAGGCCTATTTTCCAAGGAGGGGGCTGGGGCAATGATCTTTCCATTATGAGGACCTGCATAAGAATCTATAGATTATTTAATGCTGGGGGTGGCTGTGAAGCGAAATAAAGGAATCTTTGTGCGACGCCAGCCACAGTTCCCTCACTCTTTCCCCAGTCAGGCATTTCAACCAACTCTTTAAATCATCAAGCTCTAATGCACCCCATCTGTGCACTGGCTGCAGCCAATGAAACCAAAGCCTTTGCTGACTTTGGCCTGGACTTGTGAATGAGCCTTTCTGCCCCAAAAGGGGCAGGATGGAGGACATAAGGCCAATGAAGTCTTTTTTTTTTTTTTTTGCTCATTATTTGTCTTCTCCCAATGTTCAAGCTCCATTCGTCCTTTTATTTGATTACTTGCTGAGCTCTTACCACAGGTCAAGTTCTGATCTGGAGACTAAAGCTGAGAGGACATGGCCCAGTGATGTGAGAAAGAGCTCATGAGAGGAGCAGGGAAAGAAGAATGCTCTTATCAGAAATCCATGGCCCTGAACTACCCTTTACCTGCATACTCTGGGATTGTGGCTTACTTCCACTCAGTTGCAAACTACCTCAGAAGATAAGATTCTGCCAGGTCATCAAAGACCTTGCATATCAGGCCAAATAGATAAGACATAAACTTGGAAGGTCATTACTATCTCTATATATTCAAACTCTAGCCATCTCACAAGGTTCAGTGCAAATAATCACCTCTTCCAGAAATACCTCCTGAATACCAAACAATAACTCTCTCTTCTCCAAATGTCCAATCCAAGATCCTGGGCAGCTTTTGTAAGTCTCAGCTTCTCCACCAAAATAAAAGATGACTAAGGACCTAAAGACTTCTCATGAGGGTTAATGGGATAGCATTTATAAAAGTGTCAAGTAGCAGTTTTTAGCACATAGCGGATGCTAAAAAGCACTGTACTGGTACATCAATGTCATACATAGCACTTTTTCCTTGTGTTAAAATGATGTCTTGGCTTCCCACTAGATTTAAACTAACACTTTCTTTGGTGATTTTCCCAAAAAAGATAACTTTGCAATTCCCCTCCAAGCTCACAGGTCCGTTTCCAATGCCCAGAGGACTGGCTGCTCTCTTCTCTGACAAAGCCTCCCACATCCAAACTTCCTGACAAAGGGTTCCCCCCAAACTCAAAGAGAATCCGACAAAAGATGATTCGTTGATATAAAAGGAAGCCAAAAAGCTGGCTGAAACATAAATAGAATAAAGGGAAATAATTTTCAGAATCACAAAGAAGGGAAAGTGGGACAGAGTGAAAGTCCAGCTAAGTCTTTGAGGGCCCAAGGCATCCAGCTCATGGTAACTAAACATCCTGGCATAGACGGAGAACAAGGGACCCCGTCCTCAGGCCCGATTTGAGATCTTCTGCTAACACAGACCTGGTTATTCTGTCAACCTTCTTCACGTCCTGTGTCTAACCAGCCAGTCAGACTGTAAGGGTCTACACTGTTGACTGGAGCCCTCATCCCTGCCTGGCTGCGCCTACCCAACCAGAGATAAAGAAAGCAAGGCCACCTTTTCCAGCAGTTCTTATAAATAGGTCAGCAACACTAATTTTATTTATTTATTTTTTTATTTTTGGTACTGGGAATTGAACCCAGGGCACTCTACCACTGAGCCACATCTCTAGCCAGTTTCTTTTTCTTTTCTTTTTTCTTTCTTTCTTTTTTTTTTTTTTTTATTTTCAGACAGAGTCTCACTAAGTTCCTGAGACTGGCCTTGAACTTGGGATCCTCCTTCCTCAGCCTCCTGAGTCATTGAGATTACAGGCAAGAGCTACTATCCCCAGCACTAATTTTCTTTTTCAACCTAGTCTGGATCTGCATAAAGGTTGGTTTGTTTTCATTTTAATGGCATGAAGTCCAAGTTCTGAGATGCAGTTGAGGGAAGAATTCTCCCACGATCTTTTTTCTCTTTGTCAAGCAGCCCTAGTAAAACCTGTTTCTCCTCCCCTGGGAACACAGGTCCAAGAGAGTGGCAGCTCCTGTGAGAATGCTGCCTGAAGGAAGGGTCCAGTGCCTGAATCGCACAACGGGGTGTTGGATTTGTTTCTTATTAACCCCAGTCCTAACTTCAGAAGCTGTTGCCAACGCTCCTCGGGGAAAACAAGGTCTGGTCTTTCTTCTGATTATGATCAAATGTCATTCTATATTACCTCATGCATAAGCCCAAAAGGTCCCCCTGAGCCAGTGGATCATCTCTTCAACAGGACACTTTTGTTTCTCCCCCAAGGCCACTCATTTCAGTAATGCCACTGTCTCACAACTTCCCCTGGGGCTTGTCAGGGACTCTCTCATCTTTGTCAACATACCCCACTATAATGGGGCTGGCAATGTAGGTAGCTAGATGGCAGAGCCCTTGTCTTGCATGCATGAGGCCCTGGGTGCAGTACCCAGCACTGCAAAACCAATGTGAATGACAAAAACCCTTCAAAACCATAAGACCCTCTTCTCCCCACCTCTCTTAGAATTCACTTTCCAAGCAGAAAGCACTCTTCGCCACATTCTGCCAACTAAACCAAACAAGCTGAGCAGAAGGCTCTAATCCTTTCTCTGGCCTGCAAGCTGCCAGCCCCCAAAGCCTCCAACAAGGGTGACATCTAATTTCCAAAATAACAAATTAAACCATTTCTCTGTCCCTGCAACTTGGAGTGATTTCTCAAGGAAGTGAGGCAGTCATGTGAGTCAGCCCTCTTTGCACAAAAAAATAGAGTAGAAATATCCCAGCCCCTTTGCAGAGTTTATAAACATCTGTAACCTTAGGAAAAGTGCCCTCACCTGGGGGGTAGGCAAGAAAGGCTTACGGGAAACATGTACCTTGGAAATGAGTTCATCATGATTGGCCAAGTGAGCCCTGCAGTGAATGCAGCTATAGGTCCGATGGCAGGAGGGCAGATATGCCTGGAAAGTCTTGGATCTTGTCATCTTCACCATTGGCGCCGATGAGCGTGGGGTGAGCTCTGGGGCAGCCCACGAGGCACTCCCACAGGATGGGTCGCACGGGAAACACCGGAAGACACAGGTAAAGGCCGTGGTTTGGCAGGGGGTGGGTGTGGGGCAGGCTCCACACACTGGTGACGTCTTCAGAGGAAGGACCCTCAAGTAGAGGTCGAGGGCTGGTTCTCAGCAGCCTGTGGCACCAAGTAAAATAGCATTAGCTGATACAGTAAGGCTTCCTATAAGTCATGTAGAGTCTGAATGCCACCCAGAAAAAGGCTAATGCTTACAGGATAAAATAATCCCCCTCACTATTTCTTGAACTGGGCCCAAGCTGCCCAACGCATGAGAAAGAAATCACTCCAATCTTGCTGCTCTGCTACAGTTGAAGATTCAGTATCAACTCGGTACTTTCAGCAGTTACCCAGCCAATTGGCATTAATATCCTCAGGCAAAGTCCAGGATTGAAGATGAGCTACCTACAACCCCAGAGAAAGGATATCTTAGGGTCCCATTTCCTGAGCAGACCAAGGTGAATGATCAAGGAAGAATTCAGCCTCTAGTGATTCACTCCATCCAATATTCATGTGTGGATTTCCCATCCACTGCCAGATGCCAGGAGAACTCCAACATATGAAGCCACCACTTGCAGAGGCAGGAACCCCCACACCAGTCTCTGCTTAGGGATTGAGCACAGGGTACAAAGGATCAGCTTCCCATTCAGCAGAACTAGCCAGCAACTTGGGAGTAGTGATTCCCTTTGCAATACCTTGCTCAGAAGTAGATGCATTTTTATTTTTAAAAACAAAAAAACAAGTGAGTGAATCAATGTCATAAAAAGGCTCCTTCATCTAAAAATCATAGACAGTGAATTTTAAAATTTTTTCCTTCAATCCCTGGATTTCCCATTATTCATCCCACAATATCAAACATCTCTCCTCCCACAGCCTCACCTCTTTTATTCTACTGGGAACCGAGGACACCAGAGGAAGTGGGTGGTTCCCAGGATAACCAAATGAGCAGGTTAGTCCCAGTGAAGGTCTAAGGAAACAGCTCCAAGGCCCGAGGCTCACTCTGCTCCTCTGTGGCTTACCTACCTCAGGCTTTGACACCTGTCTATTCCCTGGACTTCACTAATGGGGATGGTGTTCCCACTTGTCTACCTCCCAGGAGAACCCTGAGCGTTAATTAACACCTGCGTCAGGCTTTGAAGATAAAATTATTTAGAGGCGCATGGGGAGAGGGGCATGGGGAGAGGGGCGAGACACCACACACAAACAAAATCAGATCTTCCTTGCCGGCTTATGTCTAGGATCCATCTGGACACTTTGGAGAAATCCTACAAATTCCTAGTCTTCTTTTTGCTCTAAACCTCACTGGAACCAAATCTTTCAAAAGGAAGCCACCCTCCGCCTTGGCATCCTTCCCACCACAGCAGTCCCTGATACCATTGTACTCCTGGAGCCTTCCTGCATGGCCAAGACCATACTAGGCTGCAGGACAACAGTGGTCACTACCCCTCGTGCCACAGTAAGAACACATTCCTTCTGCAGCCCTGAGTCACACTGGCCCCACATCCAATTACATGCAAGATGCTTGATGGTTGGAGGGATTCAGGCCTGCAGAGGCCAGGGAATTATGTCTCTCTGCTCATTCTCCCTTACAGACATGAGATCAGGTCACATGGATGTCACACATACTTGAAGGATATGGCCAGGCGCGGTGGCGCACGTCTGTAATCCCAGCGGCTCCAGAGGCTGAGACAGGAGGATCACAAGTTCAAAGCCAGCCTCAGCAAAGGCGAGGCACTAAGCAACTCAGTGAGACCCTGTCTCTAAATAAAATATAAAATAGGGCTGGGGATGTGGCTCAGTGGTTGGGTGCTGCCAAGTTCAATCCCCAGTACCAAGAAGAAAAAAAGAAAGAAATACTTGAAGGATACAGAAGTGGGAAATGATTCCCTCAACTTTGCCTCAGAGTTAGGCCTGGCCATCCCAGGACACAGGGCTAGAAGATACATGAACCCCCTGGATCCAGAGCCCCTGAGCATCCTCTGGGTAGTGGGCGAGGTGAATGGACAAAACAGGCTACAGTAGACCAGTGCTACAGGATGACAGAGTTACAGGTGGTAGAAAGAGCCAGACACCATCTTGGTGATTCCTGAAATGACTTCAACCTTTCCAGTGTCTGTTCTACTGTCAAGAAGGACAGAATATCCAAAGAGGGAGGGGGAAGTGGGCTAGGGTAAGGAAGACAGGCAGAGGAATGTGAGAAGTAGGCTTCCCCCAGGCCCAAGGCTTCTGAAGTCCATGGCCTTGGCCGCCCAGCAGGGAGCACTGGGCTCATCAGTCTTACGTAAACACCAAGGGAAGAAAGGGAAACAATGACCCTGGCTGCCTTTCTGCGTTTACAGAGCAGCTACAGAGTCTGTTTTCTTATGCATGCAGACAGCTTCTAAATTATGCATTTCCCTGGAGTAGAATTATTCCTTTTCTCACTTCTCTTCTGTAGGAAACCCAAAAAAAAAAAAAAAAAGTTCATAGGCAGAAGTTTCTGGTTATGCTCAACTTCAAATCTGAATCCCAAAACTTATTCAAGGCTACTTTCTGCAGAATAAGCATTTACACTCTGTATTCAATGTGAGTGTGTCAGCCAGGCACACGCCTGTAATCCCAGTGACTCAGGAGATGGGTACAGGAAGATTGCAAGTTCAATACCAGCCTTAGCAACTTAGCAAGGCCCTAAGTAATTTGGTGAAACCCAGACTCAAAATAAAGGGCTGGGGATATGGTTCGGTGGTAAACTGCCACTGAGTTAAACCCCCAATACCCATTTTAAAAAATGTAAGTGTGTCCCAAAACACACACACACACACATGCACACTCACTGTTCACCATGGCTCTGAACTTTTTTGCAGGAGAATAAATCCACCATGTGAGCAATGGCCCAGACTGTCTGGTGCTAGAAAGTCCTGGAAAGTCTAGACAAGCATTAGCCTTCACTGTGATACAAGTGCTCTGCTCCCCCCACCTTTTCCCCCTTCCCTGTAACTGGGATTGAACCCAGGGCCTCCCCCAAGCTAGGCAGTGTTGTATCACTGGGCTACCTGCCCTCACTCAGCTCTTTAATATGAATCCACAGGCATCCTGAAGATGTGACCCCTTCCCTGGGAAGAAGCAAAGGAAGAGGGAAATTACTGGAAAATGCCTCTTGTTGAGACCCAGGACAAGCCAGAAGGAATGAGAAAGAGCAGGGGGAGAGGAAGGTGACACCGAAACAAGAAAAGGCCAGTGTGGCTAAGAAGAAAGGAAGGAGCAGGCTGAAATCACAGAAGTTATCTTTCAGCCAGGGACTGAAGAATGTATCCACCTGGTGCTGCCTTCTTCCTATTTCAAAGGGAAAACTGAGAAACTTGCTTGTTTGAGTCAATTCTTAGAAAGGAAAATTTAACTGGTGATTTTTTTTTTCAAAGGGGTGAATTAAGGGTACAGGTCTATAGAGCATTTTTAAGTTTTGGACTTTGATCCCTACTGAGGGGGCGACAGGGTCCAGGGGCTTCATGAATCCAAATTGATCTCCAACAATAATCAAATTAACTCGGTATTTTAAAGCCTCAGGGCACATGTACAAATTAAACAGCATTTTAAGTGAACTAATAATCCATCACAGTGGAAATTAAAGAAAGATTTGCTACCACCCCCAGCTGGCTCAGCATGGAAAGAAAAAACGTGAAATATTATGATTAAAAACAAAGATCTCAGATACACCACCTCAAGAGCCAAAGGCAGAGGGAGCTTCCACACTCCGAACCTGGCTGGCCTGCCTAACAGACTGGCCCCTTTCATCAGGGGCCACAGTTCCAGCTGGAACTTAGAATGGAACCTTCTGCATGTCACCAGGAGAGAAGGGTAGTAGGTATGCATTTTTTAATCAAGCCATGAAGAAACTGAGGAGTGCTGTGTGAGCCAGACCACGCACGGCCACAGAAACTGACTAGGCACATGGAACTCACGAGAGGAAGCAACTCCTCCAGACTGGACCAGGCCATCCTCAAGGTGTGCCTCTGTATCATTGTTTCCTTGGGGTGTTTGCTGGAAAGTAGGCAAAGACACTTCTTTTCTGCTTTCAAATCAAATTGAACCCAAAGCCTGTGTGTAGCTAGATTCACCCTAGTGGAATGGGTGGCCTGCTGCCCCCATTGGGACTCTTTATTCTGTATTGAAGCACCCTACAAGATGGTGCCATGGAGACAACGTCTCCCCAAACCCAGAACAACCTTTTCAAGGTGAGACCAGCTGGTGATGACACTGAAAGATGCATGGAGTGTGCTGAGATGAACGTCTTCCCAAGAGGTGGCTTCATCGGAGGCCCTGCTATCTGATTTATGCAACCCTGACAAGCTCGGAAGCCTCTTTCTCCTTCAGATCCACCCTCTGCATTTTAGCCATTGTTGTCTATCGTAAAAGCAGATCTGATGATGTCATTATTCCCATGATGTTCAGAAAGGCAATACAGGGTACTGGCTCACAAGACCTGGAAGCAGTTTCAAATCTCAGCTCCATCATTTATTAGCTGTGCAACCTTGAAGAAATTACTTAAGCTCTCTGGATCTCAGTTAGATCATAATATCTACTAGATAAGGCTCTTGTGAGGATTAACTAAATTAAGAGATACAAAGCACTCAGCATGTGAGCCTGGCATATAGTAACTTACAATAAATTCCAGGTATGTATTCCAAGTACTTAGGATTTGGGCAACTCGTATGAAGCTCTTTATAGTTCCCAACACCCCATACCTAATTCACATGCCCATGGTTTTGTTAATGCCATTCCCTCAATGTGACACAATCTTCCCACCTCTCCTCTCCAGACCCTCACTTGTCCCCTAAAACACAGCTCATAGGTGCTCATATTCAACAGATGAATAAAGAAAATGGGGGGGGGGCTGGGATTGTAGCTCAGTAGTAGAGCACTTGCCTAGCATGCATGAGGCACTGGGTTTAATCCCCAGCACCACATAAAAATAAACAAATAAAATAACAGCATTGTGTCCATCTACAACTAAAAAAAGAAAAGATATGTACACAATGGAATATTACTCAGCCATAAAAAGAATAAAATTATGGCATTTGCCAGTAAAAGATGGAACTGGAAACTATCATGCTAAATAAAATAAGCCAATTGCAAAAAAAAAA